ACCCGGGTCTTCTGCAAGAACAGCCAGTGTTCTTAACTGCTGAGCCATCTCTCCGGCCCCAGGAAAAGACATTTTAAAAGCTGTATAATGCAAAGGATAGTCAGAGAGGAGAGTCTCAACTGCAAATGAGTTCCTAATTCTTACTTTCTCTACGTCCCCCAGGCCCTCGGTGTCAAGCAGAACTAGGGTGCGGTCTGGCTTCTCAAGATGAGGCACACACCACATCCAGATCCCTTTGGTATGAGACTGCACGGTGGAGCCCAGAGAGAAGCCTGCAAAGCAGAGATGAGGGGAATATGTTTTGTAGCAGGTGTTTCAAGACACTGACACCAAAATATGGCATAACAAAGGACAAGTCAGCTAACTGAAATCAAAGGTAATATTGATTTCTTACAATCAGAAAAATAATAACTAGCTTTCCAGTCACGCAGCATGCAAGAGTCACAGGTCCATCCAGTCTTGTACCAAGGTTCCCTCAAAAAGCTGAACTCCTGAGCACGCTACGTGTGAAGCTGGGAAGGTGAAGTCTAAGCTACAGGGGAGGCCCCAGGGTATGAAGATGCCACGGCTCTGGGAGCTCCACTGAGAAAGGCTGGAACCAGCCTAAGAGAGTACAAGCATGCTGCAGGCAGCAGGACACTAGGAATAGGACTCCACGCCCTGCCCGAGCCTACCCCAAGTTACCACTTGCCCTAGATGCTAGATATGGAGCTATGGAGTTTGGTGTTTGTCCTGCTGGGCTTTAATCCTGCTTTAGTATGGTCTTTCCTTCCTATTCCCTTGTTCATCTCTTCTGGGATAGAAATATTAATCCTGTGCTGTTGTATATTGGAGGCATGTAACTTGTATTTTGATTTTTCAGGCGCTCACAGCTAAAAGTTTGCCTTCAGTCTCAGAAGAGAAACAGGACTTTAATACACTGTTAGAACTGTATAACTATGGGGACTTTGGAACTTGTAACCAGTGCCATTTTGCATTGTGAGATGGCTAAAAGCCTACCGGTTCCAGGGACAGAATGCTATGATTTGAATGTGAAATGTTCACCACAGCCTCATGTGTCCACTTGGTCCCTGGTAGGCAGCACTGTTTGGGGACATGTAGAACCTTTGGAAAGTGGAGATTGGCTGGCAGAGGTAACCATTAGGAGGATTCCAAAGGTTAATAGTGGCCCTGCTCCTGGCCCCGTGCTCTCTGCTTCTTGGTCAGGCATGGTATGAACAGTCCGCAGGCTTCTGCTGCCATGGATGGAGCCATGATGTCATGTTTTCTCTGGCATGAGGAACTGAGATCCCCTTAACTCTGAGCCAAAGTAAATCCTTCCTTAAGTTACTCAGTCAGGTGTTTGTTCACAGCAACAGGGTAGAACAACCTAAAATAGTTGACAGCATGGATTCAAACAGATATGTTTACATCCATGTTCACATTATTCAGAGCAGCCAAAAGTGTCTGTTAACAGGTGAATGGATAAGAAAATCGTTATATGCAATTACTGAAACTTTAAAAGGAAGGAAAATTGATACATGTTCTAACAGTGATAAACCTTGAAGATACCATGCTAAGAAGCCAGTCACAAAGCAACAGATCTAATATAGTCCACTTATATGACATTCTGAGGGCCATCAAATTCATAAATACACAATGCTGGCTAATGGTAGAGGACGAGCAATAGAGAGATTCAGTTGCTATGTGGGAAAATGAGATAATTCTAGAGATGGGTAATGGTGAAAATGTAAGTTTTCTTAATGCCACAAAACTGTATACTTGAAAATAGTTATAAAGTTAAATTCTGTGTTAGGTATATTTTACAATCATATAAAAATCCAATGCAGGCATTACAAATTGAAACTTTTTTAGTTTAAAGATCAATGGTGGGGCTGGAGAGATGGCTCAGTGGTTAAGAATATTGGCTACTCAAACTCTACACACCCAGGGCTCAGGGACAAGGGGGTAGAAAGATTGTAAGAGCCAGGGAGGAGGTGCATGACCACAGGGAAAGAGAGTCCTACGAGCTTTTGGGACGTTGCTCATATGAACCTATAACAATGGTGTCCGCATGCACAAGACCCATGCAAACAAACACAAGAAGACAAAAATTCAGCATAGAACTGTGGAAATGGGCAAACAGGTTCCAATCTTAGCCAAAGAACTATTGGTAGTTGATTACTGCTGGGTTAGGAAGAACTGATCTTCTTAAAGGGAGGGACTTTAGCTAGGTTGATTAGGCTTCAGAGGATGAACTTGCACTGAGGGAGATCTGGGGACACTAACTGGACTTAATAGGCCTTAACAAAAATGACAGAATGCATGAAATGTAGGGGAGGTGCTATGGGAGGGTGCTGATGAAGAAGGGGGCATAAAGATGATTAAGATTTTCTGTATGATTAAGGAATTAGAGCCAGCATTTGAGAGAGGCATGCAGGGACAGGGGTGAGAGGAATGGAGTAGCTAGTCCTCCCGTGGAGAATGAGCTGGAGCCACCTGTGAGAGAGGCCAGCAGAGAACAGAGTGTAGGTGGATGAGAGAAATGGGGGAGGGAGGTAAATGAGCCTGATCTGACTTACTGGAGTCCTGGCACACTGAAGGACATTTGGGTACAAACACCTGAATGAATAGGACTCAGCGTGTATGGCAGAGTGCATAGGGTTTGGTGGGAGGATAGAGGAAGGCATGGATGGGGGGGTCTGGATATGAGTGGGAAATATTGTATGAAATTTTAAAAGCTCAATTAAAAAAAAGTTTTTTTTTAAGTTGTTCTGTATGAAAGTCACAAAAATTCAATAAAAATTTACAAAAAAATAAAATAAAGTAAATATGCCCTTAAAAATGCACCAGCAAGTAAATGCTTAGAGATGAGGATTGTTATGTATTGTAGCCTTAAAGTGTGGTACGGAGTAGGTTTGCAGAGCTGTGTTCCTCTATGAGTTCAAGATAGAAAAAAAAATTGAAGAATATAGGCTGTTCTTACAGAGGACCCTGTTTAGATCCCAGCACCCACATGGCAGCTAACAACCACTGGAAACTTCAGTTCCAGAAGAGTCAATGCCTTCTTCTGACCTCTGTGGGCATTGTATGATATGGGTGCACTTATATACATACAGGCAATACACTCATACACATAAAATAAAAATAATAATTTTTAAAGCCCAATAGAAACTTGCTATAATATGAACATTTTATCAATGTTTTAAAGCTTATTAATATGTAACTTAATTATTTTTATTACTGCCTTCATCTAGAAAAGGAGCAATTTAGGCTTTTAAAAGGAAAACTAAGATTCAAGTATGGTGGCATATGTCTATAATCCCAGCATGCTGGAGGCTGAGGCAAGAGAATCATAAGTTCAAGGTCAGCCTGGACTACATACTGAGCTTAAGGCTATCTTGGGCTACATAGCAAGACCCTGTCTCAAAAATAAACAAGCAAGAAATAAACAAGCCAACACAAGTTCAATTGTGAGTAGAAGTTTAAATTCTGCACAGTTCTTCCATGCTGGATGCTGACAGTATGTGTAGACAGAGGGGACTAGACAGAGCTCTGCTGGTGGCACTCACCTGTGTTCTTCCCAGCCAGCTTGTTCATCAGGTAGGATTTTCCCGTGCGGTAGAGGCCCACGATGGCCACCACCACCACAGGCTGCTTGATGGCAGACAGGATCCCCAGGGCCTCCTGGTTGGCTATCAGCTGGCCGTTCACATTCTCAATGAGGCACATGGGTTCTGGCATGTGGATCTCTGAGGCCATTGTCCAGAGTTGTCTCCTGTCTCCTGCCAGGAAAAAATGTGGGGTTAATTAGAATTAGTCTTTTGCACACAGAAGATGGTCATAAATTTTCCCACAATGAACAACAGCATTGTGTCCATCAGTGAAATAGATGACGGAAAACCTGTAGAATTTGAGAAAAAATATTATCAAAGAACTTCATTTAAAATGTTGTGGCAGCGGCTTCACAGTTGGCTCACAACCCAACATTCCATTCAATTTAGCACTGAAATATTTCCTTATTGAAAATTTTACATCATGGGCCCTATGAGCCACAAAACCTGCCTGCCAGGTCTCATGTGCCCACTGGTACAATTGTGACATGTCTGTTAGGGGGATAACCAACTGCTTTGTGGTTAGATTTGAAGCTTGATCCACAAGAGGGAATTCATACTAGATACTATAAACTCAGTTTTCAAAAGCCCATGGTTAGAAAGGTCATAAACCCTAGGGCAGAACCTACTGTTGGTGTTTTACTAATAGGCATGCTGTTCAACTGCCTTCTAAATATTTAGGTTTACGCACATAGATTAGCACTGCTCTCAACTTTGAACAAAGAAGCTTCTTTTGGGGATGGAAAATGGTTAATGCAGAGACTCACAAGTGGTCAACACGCTGGAAATAAGTTATTGTTGTGTGCTCAGCCCTAAATATGATATGTAAGCCACCACAACCCCAACACCCACCAAGGCTCACAGAACATCATGGAAGAGTGGGGCAGAAAGTATGTAAGAGCCCCAGTGAATAGAACTGTGAGATACAGGGACAAGAGAGACAGTTCAGTGGTTAAGGGCACTGGTTGCTCTTGCAGAGGAACTAGGTTCAGTTCCCAGCAGCCACGTGGCAACTAACAACCACCCATAACTCCAGTTCCAGGGGATATGATGCCCTCTTCTGGCTTCTGCAGGCATTGCACAAGATAGATGCAGTTACATACAGACAGACAAAACACTCAACTCATACACATAAAATAAAAATAAATTGAATAAAAATGTTACTAAAAAGAGAGAAAAGAACTATGAGATACTGTCTTCTATACATGACATGGCCATTGCAATCATGAGCTCATAGCAGCTGCTGTTACCTGTACAACACCTGCATAAGATTGAGCTCATCTAGTTCATGGGTATTGGGGAAGGAGGTACCATCTTCTTCTGTGGTGTAGCCACTGATAAGTTGTCTTGTTCCAATAATAGCCCCCCACTCATACTATACAAGCAACCATAATTAAACTCAGTGGGTTCAAAAAAAAAAAGACATAAATCAAAGTAAGAGGTGGCTTGTTGGGAAGTAGAAAGGTTTCAACACAAGAGAAGGAGAAATAAGGCAGCAGAACAGGAGGTTGGAAATGTCCAGAAATTCAGTATACACATTATGAGATTATCTAAGAATTTTTAAAAAATAAAGAAAAATAATTAGGCCCATGAATTGATGTGCCCAGAATTGATAGGGAAGAGGCTGCTGAGGTCCTACCACTGTCTGAGAAAATACTGGCAATCAATTAAGTGACTGAGTAATTCCCCATATCAAATTACCAGCTGCTGGGGGAGGGACGTCGTTCGTGTTCAGCGGTACAGCCACGGAATAGTCGCCCTGCTCAAGTAAACAACTCACACCTGTGCTCATACAAGCAACCCTGATTAAACTCAGGGGGTCATAAAAAAAATCAAGGCCATGAATGACTGAAGCTCATGATATGTAGTTTAGTGTAGAATAAAACCGTTTTATTTTTATGTTATGGAAAAGGTTTGTTTTATTAGGAAGTAAATATATGAACACAGTGTTTTGTGCCTCTTTAAAGGTTTTTCTCTTCAGCAGAGTGAACGTAATAGCAGGAAAATTATGATTGTCATCTATTTTATGTATTAAATCAATTTGGACATTTTAAGGCTCAATCAAGGTAGTTCAACAAGGCAAAAAATATATTATTGTGTTTTAAGACATAACAGAGTTCATTAAATCTTTCTATCCACAAGATTTTTGCTAGTGGGTAGAATTCTTATCTGTGAATTAAGAAGAGAATTGTGTCTTTAGCAAATACTCTTGGGGTTTATTTTCAAAACTAAGAGATCTGCAAATGTCTTCTTTTCCCCTTATCTTAACAGAATGAGTTTTCATGTGTAAGGAATATTTATTTAGCTATCCTATAAAATTATTGAGCACCTACTGAGGCCTTTAGACATTCCTGACACTCTGCTCCATCATTGTTCAATAATGAAAAACAGTCATGCAAGCAAGTGATGAAGGTCTGTGTAGGTTTGTTATGATATATAAAGGATGAGACAAAAATAATATACACATAATCTTAAAATGTCTATGGTCATAGTTTAGTCAACTAGTTTAAGGAACAAAATATATATCTAGTCAAGGTTTATCTGAGAATATTTTGATTTTTATCCAAGCTTTATCTACATAGCACATGGTAATTAAAAGTACCAGACTGG